CCCCAAAACCCCAAAACCCCAAAACCCCAGAACTTCCTTTTGGATTGAAACTAATTAATTTCAATTACATCATTTCAGAGTTTTTGCAAACTATTTTCAGACTTTCTGTGCTTATGTAACTTTCGAGTAACTCATTTAATTGTTCGCCAGAAATTCCACATCCTTCGAATAAAATCTCTTGTAGATTATCCAGAAAGCATTCAGATTGAGCCATTCCTTCTATAAAGGTTTGTAGCTTGTTAATATCAGAAAAATCAATCCCACTGATAACAAACTTTTTAACTTTTGAGCCTTCTAATTGACTTCCAAATTGTGGGACTGAATCAAGGTCAAGCTCTCAATTCAGAAATCCAAAAGTATGAAGTCTCTTGGATTGGACCATAACGTTGATTATTTCTTCTTGACTCAGGTTACACCACCCAATTAGGACTTCTTCATAAGTTCTGGAGATTGCTTCAGATAAAGCTCCATGATAATAGCCGAAATTTATATGTTTTGTGTTAAAATAATAAAACCAAAGCCTATCTCAATCCTCTGAAAAATAATCAGAAAAAATCTGTATATATCTACATTCTCTTCTAAAACCTGACAGATAGTTAGCCATTAAAACCCTCAATTCTATCCTCAAGTCCTGATACTACTTCAAGAGTGTGCTTAAATTCAAAATCCATAGTCAAAACATCTCTATCATGACACCCAATATCTCCTCATAAGGAGAACAGTTGCTTACATTCTCCCTTATCAGAGCAATCGAATTGGGAGATCAATGCAGAAATAGAGCTTATCTGTTCGATATCAGTTATCTTATTTGCTTAAAATGAAATGGGATAATGAAATGAATCTTTCAGACCATCAATACTTTCTCTGGTCTATAACTTTCTGTTTTACCTCGGATACCAGTTCTTTGATCTCTTCAGGTCCATATTCGTCTCTCAGCTGGGTGACGTTCTCTGAATCTTTTGATTCAGAATTTAGTTCTTTTGATATTTGAGAGTTATTAGAGTCTGATTTATGACTTGCTTCTAATTTGTCGAGGCTTATGCCTTGGTTTATGAGCATAGGTAGTTTGGGAGTTTTAAATACAGCACTGTTTGTACTTGAAGTACAAATTTCTCCTGAGCTAGAACTATCTTGGGAATCGTCTTGAAGTGCCGATTGTGTTTTATTGTCAGGAGAATTCTTGGATTCTTCAATTTTGTCGTCTGAAATATTGACTTTGCTTGTATTTGATAGTTTTACTAATCTTTCTCATTTTACTTTTCAACATGAATCCTCTTTCGGTTCAGAATTTTTACAAGTTCGAACTAAACTATTTAAGTTCGGCTCAGAATCTGTTTTAATAGTTTCATCCTCTGACTCTCAAGATGGTTCTTTCATGTCTATTAAGGATTTTCAATCCTGTCATTGACAAAGTTTCATTGAATTTCTTCTATTTCTCAAAAGTGAATAATTCTGCTGTTTTGGCTTGAAATATAAGAATACCCAGGAGTAATCTTGAACATACTGTGAGCTTAATTCTATGATCTTATCTGTCATCTCATCATTAATCTGGTTATTTATTAAATACTCAACCACTCCCATAAAGTTCTTAGCTTTGAGCTCTTTCTTTCTTTGATCCAGATCTCTGTCATTTATATTAACTTCACTAGCTTGAAATTCTTGATAAATTTGGAACTTTAAAATTTTGTCTTGAATTCATATTCCCTTTCAAAGTGATCAAAACCTTTGGTCATTAGTAATTCTCCGATAATAGTTATATTTCATTCTTTTCTAGCAAGCTCATCAAGATGTTTACTATTTTATCAGTAGTGTTTAATTCTCCTATTCTTGTCCTCAAATCCAAGCTATGTCAATATCACTTGCAAATGATCTCTCTCAGTATGAAGCTGAGGCCATATCAGGCTTGTTTTATTCCAAGAACAGCTTCCTGTTTGGTCTGCTTTTTAGCGTTACTGAAATGGGTGGAATACAACCCAAAGTAATACTGTTGGAGATTTTCGACTAAATAAGCCATCCCGATGAATGAGCATCTGTGCAAGGGCTCAAATTTAGAATACTGGTCATATGCCCTTTCTAATCTGTGTGTCAGTCATAAGGTTTTGTCACATTCTGGGAGAAAATAGAAGGGAGAATTCTTACAAGTTCTAGAATGAGCGCATTTGAAGGGCTTATTAGTCATTTTATGCGTAAAATTTTCACAATCTAGATCGTTTCGGTACTCGTAGAAATCAGATTTATCTATCTGTTTGTAAGCCTGCTCATAGAGTTGAGAGTTCACTTGACATTTCACTGCTCAGAGGTTTTTATAAATTGTGAGGATATTGGGAATATGAAAATTCAAAGAAGTTTCATCATAAAATTTCTGAGGTTTCTGTAGAGCGTATTTTAGCTCTTCCAGATTTTGGTATTCAATAAATTTTGATATAATAAGTTTAGGATAACTATAATTTTCTATTAGCTTGGATTTAGTTTTGAACAGTTTCATATATTTAAGAAAATCTTTCTGAAGTTGAAAATCTTCAATAACATTAAAGAATAGAATGAAGAAGTTAGAGTCAAGGTTGGAATTTATATGTTCATGGTGTCGTTGAGTCTGGTAAAACACTTCCAAAATACAAGATCTGAGGATATTCTTTGCAAAAGAAGGAGTGTCTTCTTTGCCTAAAAACTCTTCAAAATGCTCTTGAGTCATTGATAATAACTGAATCATTGTTTTTCCATCAAAATATTGTTCAAAAATTTTCACCTTCGGAAGAGAAGTATCACTCAAGGTTGCATTAATTTGATCCCACGATAAGAGATTATCACATTTAGCATTTAAATTCGTATAAATTATTTATGTATTCAGAAGCTTCTGAAATACTAAATCTTTACAAAAGTGTAAAATATCGCTACAAAGAGGTTTGACTTCAGAATCGATGGCTTCGAAAATTGGGGTAACAAAGTCATCCAAATGGTCTCGTTTTGACTCTTCAGTTTCGCACCTCGCCTTGATATTGTTAATGAGCAATACAGTCTTAAGATGGTCCATATACTCTTTTATTTTACGCACTGTGTTTTTTAATAACCCCAGGTGTCCTTTTGTGAAATTATGATAGAAATATCATTTTGGGTAAGTGTCTTTTCAGGGAGAAAGGCAGTGTTTGATTCAGAAATAGCTGTTTAGTCCAGGAATGTAGCAGAGAGATTTGATAGAACAGCCTTGATGATCACAAGTTTTTGGTTGAATGTTATTTTGTTCCATGTTTTGATAAGAATTTAGGATATCTATACCTTTGTGGTTATTTTTGGTGTTTTAGAGGTGGTTGACTCATGTGAAGGTAATGTTAACTATTGGTTAGGTTAAAATATTGGAAATTATGACTGTTGAATAATATTTATATGGTTAGAATAGTTAAATGCTGATCACAATTAAAAAAATAACTAATGAAGAAGACAAAAAATATAAACATAAAATTTCAATTATCAAATTTTAAATTTTAAATCTTTAAATGTAAAAATTTCAAGCTTAATCCAGGCTACGAATAGTCTAATTCTAGTCACCTCTATGTCCCTGTTAAACTTACGACCGACTACATTTTCCCCATTATGTAGATGGTAGTGATCATAAACAAGATATGTAGCCTGAATTTTTAGACTTCAAATATGTAAAATTTATTCCTCTACTATATTTCTTATGATTCATTCTAATCTTAAGGGAAATATTTTAGGGGCTTTAGATAATCTAGTTACTTTATGTTAATGCTGTTGAATCTTAAATGATTCTACCTGTCCAGCATCTATTAGTGTTATAGTTCTCCCCTAAAATATTCAAACTTTGAAATCTGATATCCACATTCTTCGAATGAATTGTCTTGCAAGATACCAAGATTGAGGTCATAGACAAGACTCTATTTCTCAAATTTTGATGCTCTAATTCTATCAACATTATTTTATGGGAGTAAATATTGGGTTTTGGTTAAAATTCCTGAAAACTGAGAAATACATTGCTTAGATGTATTGACCTCAAGTTCTCCTGCCCTTTGCAGCATCATGAGACTCTGCATTGCTAGACTAGAACATCGAGCTATTTTTATCTATTTTCATGATTTTATCATATTATCTATTCTTACAAAAATTTTGCTGCTCATCAGTTGTATAAATTTGGCTTTATTTGCTCTTTATCTTAACATAAATAGCTGTAGAAACATGCTTGATCATGTCTACTGAACTATAGAGTAGTCCATTGATGAGAAATAGAAACGCAAGGCTGGCCTGGACTTGCACACTTCTAAATTCCTAGTGAGCATGTGTTAACTATCGATTTCTAAGGGATTTCAGATTACTAAATATCCTGATATTTGAGATAATTTTTCTGACTTATCAGAATAATGATTGTTTTATAGAATTTTCACTGATTTTAAATATAACAAACTTCTATGATTTTAATTTACCAACCCATTTTGTCAATGATCTAGAAAACTTTCACTGACTAAAAATCGTCTATATTTCCGAAGCTTGGATAGATGTCTTTATACCATGATACTAGCCATCCTTTGCCCTGTGCAATATGCATTCATAACTCCTTAAACCCACAGAGCAATATAGAATTAAGGGGTTTCATCTAGGTGGCTTTGAGCACTATCTTGGCCTGTTAGTCAAGGAATTGTATAATAAGTAAAAGCTTATATCTGATGTGGCTTAAATATTTTAGAGAAGGTCAAATTCAGCTCTTTAATTGTGAAGCAGATCAAATTTGCAAAGTTGCATTTCCTCTCTATAATAATATGACATAACAGGAGAGTGATTCTATGCCTACTTTAGTTAGATGCATTAACCAGGAATATAGTGCTGTGTAATAGTAGTGTGCAGGGTAGTCTAACTCTAGAAGGCTTTGAGATTTATCTTAGCTAGTTGTATAGAGTGGTATGACTAAAAGGTAATTTCTGAAAGTTGTTGTGAAAGCAGATTCCCTCTACCCACTCCTTTTCTCTTAACTCATAAATTTAAACGTAAGCTATACATACCATATTTGGTGCAATATGTCTTTGTAATGTAATGAGTGTAATACTACCCAGCCACAACTAACCCAGTTCACTACCCCCTCTTCAACACCCATCACCCCTAATACTCTCCAACTCCTCCCCACCCCCCTTCACCCCCTTAACCCCCCACACCCCCTTCAAAATCCATCAAAACCACAATTATTCCTTCTTAAACCCCCTTCTCCTCTACACTCTCTTCCTAATCCCATGTCCACTCCTCAAGTAGCTTAAAACTTAAGGTAGCCTACCCGCTCTTTGGATTGGAGCTGTTGCTAGTCCTTCGTGCTTACTTGTGTTGGGATGTTTCATGCATGTGTATGTCTTCGTATCTTTAATATATAAGAGCGCCATATCTGTGCATCCCAAGAGATCACATTCTATCCATTTCTCCATCTTTTCAGAGTCTGAATAGGTATTTTGGGTGCCTAGATTGGACCATGAACTCGCTTTCGAATTGCTAAAGCTCATCATCTTCCTCAATATAATATTTATGATTAATTTAAATTAATTTTGGTTTATATACATTTCCAATGCCTCAACGATAATTGAGAAAGAAGGGGTTTTGGGGTTTTGGGGTTTTGGGGTTTTGGGG